CGGCACCTTGGCACCTAGGTAGCTGGACGTCCCGCTAGGGAGACCCGAGCCCAGAGGTGGTATCGTGTTCAAGTCATGAAGAGGTTCGCAACCTCAAGGACTCTTAGGATCTTGACCAAATTCAGATAGACTCATGGTATGATAAGAACTCTTCAACCTCTAGATGACTTCATCTGTAAAAGGGGCGCAGGTTATTTCATTTACACGACACACACATAAAAATTCTCTCGTTACTCTGCCGTTTTGTCTTCGGATCAACACTGACTTGAGCGTCGGAGTATTCACGCCGGGACCACCCCCGGCGTGTTTTGCAGGTACCGGCGATCAAGGATACGTAACCCAGTTCGAAGAGGAGCGGTCCAACGGTTCAAGTGTTTGTGGTGTAACACAACAATTAATCACTACAGCCTCCCGGTCCCGGTGGAGAAGTTCTCGGATGGCCCGGACCAAGCTACCATGCACTCCAAGGTTTTCCATTGAGTCCCCATTCGCCATGGTCACCACACTAGTATTACCTACCTCCACGGTAATCTTACGGCATCCCAAGTCCCATGCTAACAACAAACCTTGAAAGAAGCCCCATAGCTCTGCTCCTGTGATAGAACAATAAGTGAGATCGAATTTTCTTCTGCCAACTGGAGGGGGGAAGTGGAGAAATTGGGGGGAACCCAAAAAAAGAAATAATAAAGAGAAAATTGAGTTGGAAAAGAAAAAAAAATCTTTAAAAAACTAGTATCAGTTCTCATCGCTAAGAGATATTTATTAATATTTTAAATTAAAAACTTTTATTAAATAATATATATAAATTAAAAATAACGAATCAATATGTAATACAATTTATTTATATTAATTATTTAAAAAATTATATAAAGTTTGAATTATTGAAAATTACATATAAATGTCTATTTAAAATTAGTACAATGTACATAATTGATAATAAATTACATTATATTCGTTTCTATCATTTCAAAAATTTTATTCAAAAATTCGATTTGACTATAATGTGCATCCATAAAATAGTTATTTTGGTAAAATTTTACCATATATTTAACAAACTATGTGAATAATAAGTATAAATGTAAAATTTATATTGTTTCATTACTTAAAGTAATTTATTTTTGTATAAACTATTCAAATCAAAAAAATTAAGTACTTGAGTAATTTATTAAACTATAAATAATTGACTATTTTATTTACATCCAAGTTAATATTAACCCGTAAGTTATTAATAATTATTTTTTGATTTATGATTTTAAAAAAGATTTATTTATTTTATTCATATATTATATTCAAAATTTAAATAATTCAACTAATAAAGGTAATAGCTGCAATATTTGACCAAATAATGTACATTAATTACATTAATTTAGGATTGGCTTTTTTTCAAATATTGGCAAAAAAAATTACCCAATTTTGTAAATCTGCTTTTATAGGTGGGAAACGAAATATTTTTTTTGCTGATTTTTAGTTACTAACTCAAGTAATATTATTGTCTTTCTATATATTAATAGATAGATTAGTTAATGGTAAATTGGTATATGTACATGGCAAAATGGTACAATTTTATTATTTTATAAAAAAAGTGGTGATTATTATTTTTTAAAACTATTTGATAATATTAACACTTTTTTGTGACACACAATACATACAAAAACGGTTGATTGTAAATAAATAAATGCTATGGTTTATGCCTTCATGTTTGAAATAACTCAAATTAAAAGCATTTACGATACCAAGAGGTCTGGAAACACTGATCCAGCTTTGTTAAACACCCATTAAGCTTATGAGTGCATTTTTTTTGGCCTTATGAATTGTAAAATGTAGGTTAAGTGTCATTGTTTATATACTAAATTGGTTTTTGTTCAAAAAAATTAACGGTAAATTATTTTGAGTGTTATTAAACCATGATATTCTAACTTGTTTCACAAGTTAGTGTATTAAGAATTAGTAGTACAAAAAATTGGTACATTAAGTCATCAATTT